CCCCTGGGCCAAGGTGCCCCTGGGGGTTACAAGAAATAATGGCCACAAGCTAGCAGAGAGCAGATTTAGATTGGACATTAGGAAGAACTTCTTCACAGTTCGAGTGGCCAAGGTCTGGAATGGGCTCCCAAGGGAGGTGGTGCTCTCCCCTGCCCTGGGGGTCTTCAAGAGGAGGTTAGATAAGCATCTAGCTGGGGTCATCTAGACGGAGCGCTTTTTCCTGCCTATGCAGGGGGTCGGACTCGATGATCCGTTGAGGTCCCTTCCGACCCTAACATCTATGAATCTATGAAATGTCTAGCTTTTCTAATTGGTATTCCGCCCACTCAGCATCCACAGTGGGGAGGCTGTCAGTCCTGGCATGTCCCCTATGAGCCTTATCTTGCTTGACTTTCCCCTTGGTCTGGTGAAATACCGAAGTGAAGTGAACATTCAGGAGTTATTTTTTTTCCTGAATGCCAGTTACCAGGTGTCCCAAGGTGTTAAGCAGGGGTCCCACACTTCCATTTGTTTTCCTTCTACTGCCTACATACCTAAAGAAAGACTTCTTATTGTCCTTGACTACTGTTCCTAACTTAAACTCTGTCACCACCTTGACTTTCCTGATCATTTCCCTATAAGTGCTAGCCACTGTTGTATAGGCCTCCTTTAGGACCATCCCTAGCTTCCACTGTGCGTACATCTCTTTTTTTCTTTTTTAAGAGGACTGCAATGTCCCTATTAAGTCAGGAGGGCTTGCCAGCCCTTCTGCTGCCTTTCTTCTTTGCAGGAACAGTTTTCTTTTGTGCTTTGAGGATCCTTGAACAATGACCACTCTTCATGTACCCCTGTTGCCTTGCCTTCCTGGTCCCACATTGCCTCCCGTACTAATGCTCTGAACCTGCTGAAGTCAGCATTTTTGAAGTCCAGGACTTCAATTCTGCTGGTTGATTTGTTGACCTTGTGGCAGATGGTGAACCTGATAATTTCATGGTCGCTGTTTCCCAGGCTACCCTGAATGCTCAAGCCAGACATTATATCATCTCCCTTGGCCAAGACTAAGTCTAGGAGAGTGTTACCTCTGGTTGGCCCTTGCACTTCCTGGGCCAGGAAGAGCTCCTCGATCACAGTCAGGGAACTGCATGACCGATCTGACTTAGCCAAGTGTTCCTCCTAATTTATGTCCAGGTAATTGAAGTCACCCATGACAACCAAATCCCTTGCATGTACGGCCTCTGTCAGTTCTTGAGAGAACTCCAGATCCAGCTCCTCCCCTTGTTTTGGTGGCCTGTAGAAATTCCTCAATTTCCTCAATATTGTTTCTGGAACCACTGCAAATCATATCTAAAGACTTTGTTGCAATATCTTAAAGGTATTTTTTATGATGGAGAAATTAATTATTGTTCAAGCCATGCAAGGTATGTGCTTTTTCATATGACCTGCAACAATGTTAGAAATGACTAGTTACCAATACATAAATCTTTAACTTCTTCCTTTTTCTACAATTTCAATCATGCTGATTGATCATGAAGGAGTGGACTACTGTGCATTGAGTGACCATGGTTGTGAACATATCTGTGTGAATGGTGAAAAATCCTATACTTGTCAGTGTTTTGAGGGATACAGACTACGAAATGATGGGAAAACTTGTAAACGTAAGTTATTATCAGACCAGTTAGCCTGATGCTGTATTGCTTGTTATATGGTTTCTGTATAGTATCATCATATATGCAGTATAAATCAGTAGCTCTGAAATTGGACTGTTAGTGATGCAAAACTTCTTTAGTACAGAGTTGCGTTTTTGCAACAGGCAAGCAATTTTTTTTTCTGAAATCAGGTTAAAAAGTTTAAATGTTTCCAAGGCTCATCTCCTTACATAGCAACCAAGGAGCTTTCAGTATTATTAATGATGTTTCATTTCTTTGCCCAAAATATGTAATGGAGAATGATAAAAAGGGTTTGAATAATTTAGGCAGGGCGGTGTGGGGTGGTGGGTGGTGGCACTCTGTCCCCACCTACCTGCATGTACCCCTGGGCATTCCCAAGTTACCCCTGTGGGTATGTGTACCCCCAGTTGACAACCCCTGAGTTGGAGCATGAGCAAACTGAACATTTACCTCCCAGGAGGCTGCCGGAGTAGCCCCTCTCCCCAGCCCAGCACCCCTCCAGCCCCCCCGCCAGCTGATGACTGTCAGCAGTAGCTGTGGCGGGGAGAGATCCCAGACCCCTTCTCCCACAGCCCCTGCCCGCAGCCAAGCAGTGGCCAGAGCTGCAGGAAAAGGGGTCTGGGGCCACTGCTGCTACAGGGACACAGACTCCAGGCTCCTTCCCCTGCAGCCTCCCTGGCCAGGCAGCAGTGCACCACAGGGCTGGGCTGCTGCAGGGACACAGAGCCCAGACCCCTTTCCTCCACAGCCTCCCTGGGCTGGCTGGGTGGGCTGCCCAGCCAAGGGGGTAAAGTCTGGGGTCTCTCTCCCTGCAAAAGCCCTGGCCATGCAACAGCCCCAGCCACACAGTGCACCACTGCCTGCCTGAGACCAGAGTGCAGCCTTGCACAACACTGCCTGGGGTGACAGCGATTGTGTTCTAAGTTAACCCTTTATGGGATCTGGCACAGACATTTGATAAAGCACTCTAACAAAAAAAGCTTAGACTAAAACTCATCCATCAAGGGTTAACTTAGAGCATAATCCACCGTTTTTAAAGCATTCTGAGACATGGTGTCTGTTCAGTTACAGCTTTCTGCATGCTTAAAGCAAAATAGGTATAACATCTTTACCTAGCCTAGAAGTTAACATTTTTTCCCCCTTAATAAAATGGTTGTGAATAAAACGGAGTCTGTTACGAAAGATGAAAATGTCAGTGATGGCTGGGAACACATTGCTTGAGGGATCCCACTAATTCAAGGACATACTAAACTATGCACTCTTTCACTAGAAAACTATGACTGTGTTTATTAGACATTTTAACTAGCAAACTTTCCTAACCATCTAAATTATTACCAGGTAAAAATGTCTGCAAGTCAATCAGCCATGGTTGTGAGCATATTTGTGTTAATATTGACAATTCATATGTCTGCAAATGCCGTGAGGGATTTACCCTGACAGAGGATGGGAAAACATGCAAAAGTAAGTAACTGTTCTGTCTTATATTTGTGTGTGAGAGGCAGACAAAAAAAAAAAAAGCAGCGGAAGAATTTCATTGCTTTTTTACTTTATGGGATTTGCATTTATACCTCTGTTTTAATTAGGAAGCAGTATTAAATATCTAAACTATTCCCAGGAAAAGACATTTGCAAATCAGTGAATCATGGCTGTGAACATGTGTGTGTTAATGCTGATAATTCATACATCTGCAAGTGCCATGATGGATTTGCACTAAGAGAAGACGGAAGAACTTGCAGAAGTAAGTATCTAAGCAGCCTGATCTTTAATAGAATATTAACCTTGTAATGTATGCATTTGTAGAAGTGTTTTAACTAGAAAACTCCTCAATTATTTTCAGATAGAGATGTTTGCAATTCAGTTGACCATGGCTGTGAACACGTTTGTGTTAGTGGTGACAATTCCTATACTTGCCAGTGCTATGATGGATTCATACTGAGGGAAAATGGGAAAACCTGTAGAAGTAAGTAGCCATATTTTTGCTGGGTCTTCAGCAGG